TTGTTAACCAAGAACAACGACTAAGGCCTCTCTCGTTCGTCATTTGGGACCAGACCACTAATGTTGACTTGGACTAGATTGTTGGAGTCGATAGGGATTAGACTGTCAACTTTGCCTAGGATTAGATTGCTGACTTTGACCAAGGGTGAAACGCCGATATGAACCAGGACCAAACCGCAGACTTCTATTAAGAAAGGACTGTTAGCATTGACTGGGATTAGATTATCAATATTGACCAAGACATGATAGCCACCTCTTATCGAGATAGGTTCACCAATGCGTTTAGGATTGAACCACTGATATTGATCAAGACATGACCGCCATCGTTTATCAAGACTGGTCTTTAGATGCATTTGAGATCAAACTACCACTATAGACGAGCAAGTGACCTCCATTGTTTATTGAGATTGGTCCATTAATGCATTCAGGACTAGATCATCAATATTGACTGGGACATGGCCACCACCACTTATTGGGAAATGACTGCCACTGCTAATTGGGACCACATTGTCGACTTCGACTAGGACCGAATGTCGATGTCAACTAGGACCGAACCATTGATGTTTTCCAAGCTTCTTTTAAATTCAAACATATAATTCAAAATTTGGAATTTTTCTTAAGATTCAAATAAAAGATTTTAATATTATAATTATAAATTTTATTATATTATTCAGACAAAGAATTTAAAATATATAAATTTTAAATGTTAGATTTTAAATTCAAATTATTAATCCAAATTCACCCATCCAAAAGCAATCTAAAAGAATTATATTATGAGAATAAGCAATATTGGTACAAGAGAGAGTAGATTCTTATTCATTGGCTGGTCAAAAAAAGGATTCTCATTCATTTGTGTTTAGAATCCATTTTTATAAGTTAATTATTAATTAAAATTAATAGCGATCGTGTCTTTCCCATGAAAGTGAAAATTTAAATTCATCATCTTAATTCAAACAAGTGAATTGTTAATATCTAATTAACAACCATCTCAACATTCCACTATTTGATTATTATGTCTCAAGGAGTTAAGGGTATTAAAATTAATAAAAAAATTTCCATATCCAAGTTTTGCCAATTGAATATCTCGATTCACCAATGTAATAAGTTGGATATAGGTTTCCCTAAGAAAGGATGGTTTAAGTTAGATACAAATGACTCCGTCAATGTCTATGATACAGCTTTTTGTGGCGGTTTCATCCGAGACAAACAAGGCAATTGAATTAAAGACTATTTTGAATGTCTTAGATATCATCCAAGTACGGCAGCCAAACTTGTGAGTGTCTTGAAAGGATTTAACATTTGTTGGGCTAAAAAATTTAACAAAGTTAATGTCTATTCTAATTTTATTAAAGCTTTCTCATTAATTCGTAATGAGTTCTCTATCAATCACCCAATTTTTGATATTATCAATAAAATTAGAGATCTCATTTTTTAAGATTAGACTGTTACTTTTGATCATGCTTTTATAAAAGCAAACAAATTTGCAAATTGTTTGACCCTCCAAACCTCCACTAATAATTTTAATGTATTTATTTTTGATACAGTGCTCCTAGGTTGTAGGAATTTTTATTTGTTGACGTGACTCTTCATGTTGGATAGCACTATTTATCCATAGCCTCTTATTTAAAAAAAATGGTTATAGGCCTATAGCTACACGTACCTTATGGTGCAGCTTTTTAATTCAATCTTGCCAGTAAGCTGTCTGGCTCACCTATTAAAAAGATAAGGGAATAATAAATATAGGTTCAATTAATAAGAATTTAACTCATAACTTAAAAGATTGTAAGATGAAAAATCACTATTAATATGAGAATCATATTGGTGAATGACTTGTAAGTGCTCATGAGAGCATTCTTTGAGCCTAAAAACATACCCTTACTCTAATGAGTCCCCTAGATCTAGCTAACATAAACTTTTAATTATAAAAAAGGGAAAATTATGAATAATCCTTGTATACAATATTTATTTATAAATAAGTCTAGCAAAATTTAGAAAATATAGTAAATTCAGGACTTGGGTACAATTTGATGTTAGGGCGTAAAAATAATACTGCATCTATTAATTTAACCTTTGCTCATGACTATAACTTCAAAATTTATGAATAAAAATTCATAATTTATACGTCAAATTTCTTGTTTAATACTTGATATAACATGAAGTCTTCATGAAGTTAATTTTGATTAGTTAATGTTATAATTATATAATAAATTACAAATTTTACATTTCAATTATATCAATTACAACCTTATGTATGCATAATTAACTCCATAAAAACTCTATGTTATACCAAGTGTTAAATAAGAAATTTGATTTGTAAATAATGAATTTTTTTTTTAATTGTGATGTTGCAGTTGCAATTATAGGTGAAAGCTAACTTAATTGTCAAGAGCTTTATTAATCAAATCTAACTTTAACCAGTCCATAAGCTAAATATGTAAACCCCAAATGAACACTATTACTTTCCTACATCATAATTAGACTAATTATAGCCTTAAACATATATAATTAACTCTATGAAGACTCTATATTATATCAAGAGTTAAATATAAAATTTGACTTGTGAATTATAAATTTTAACTTAGAACTAATAATTCAGGCAAGTTGAGTATATTTTGACTTGGCTTAATTGGGCAAAGTAAAAAATTAAATTAAAAAACAAAAGGTGATAATTTATGCAAATTATCAATTTTTTTAAATTAATTGTAATTTAATTTTTTACCTTGAAATTACTATTTTTGTTTTATAAAAATATAACATATATTTTTGGGATATTTAAACAGTATAGAAGACTTAAAATTTTATTTTTAAAAAAATATATGGATCTTAAAATTTAAAAATTAATACTAAAATATATTTAAAATATTATTTTGAGATATTTTATATATTAAAGATATGACAATATAAGTATTTTTATTTTTTAAAAATATTTATAATAGTTTAGTCAAATATATAGCATCTTAGTATAAAATGACATAAAAAATTAAATAATTAATTAATATTTATCATATTTTATATATTTAAAAAATGTATATTTTTTTATTTCAAATCAGGCCTCAAATATTAAAAACATTACTTTATCAAATTCAACCCTAATTTTTTTTGGATTTATTTAGGTTTAAGTTGAATTAGCAACTCTAAATTTTTTTTTATAAATCGTGTAGTTACAATTATAAGTGAAAGGTAAATTAACTGTCAATAATTTTATTAATCAAATCTAATATTAAACAACCCATAAACAAAATATGTAAATTTCAAATGAGCTTTATTACATTGCTTGCATTTCAATTATATTGATTATAGTATTGAGCAGGTATAATTAATTTTATGGAGATTCCATATTACCTCAAACATTAAATGAGAAATTCAACTTGTAAATTATCAATTTTTACTTTTAAAAATTAAAATTGCAATTGTAAGTTAAGTCAAATTAACAAGGCAGTACTATTTTTGTACTCTAATTATAAATTATACTTAAATCTCAAAAAATTTAGATATAGTTTTTAAATTTTAAAAAATTTATTTATATTGCTGTACAATATCTAATGATAATTTTCTCAAAAAATAATATTCAAAGCCTGCCCGGAAGGGGGCAATGGCGGCGAGCATGCAAGCTGGCTTCCCATTTTATATCCTTTAAAATTTATATAAATTTTTGTAGTCTGAACTCTGCAGACTAAAGTGGTGTTTAAGTAGTTAAGTATATTTTGGCGTTTGCTCCAGGCTTCTTGTCTCCTAAATATCTTATATTATTTTTATTTTATTTTATATACGTACATAGTTCCCCTTTGTCTTCTTCCCACGTGGGGCTGCTCCCTCGAGTCCCCGATTTCATCTCCCTAGTCTCGCCTTATCCAATACGTCAGTCGCCACGATATTCCTATCCACCTATCCAATCATTTTCATTTTCCACTCTGCATTATTCGCCACGTACAAGTTCACTTCTCTTTTACTCTAAGCCATCTGCATATGATCGTCCTCTACCTCTCATTTCAGGAATTGGTTAAGGCTGCTTGTGATGGGCAATTTAAACTGTTCAAATTTTAAATTTATATTCACAAGTTTTATTTTATTTTATTTAATATTTATTATAATAAAAATTATAAATGTTTAATAAATTTATCTTATCAATCATCTGAATAATATAGATTTAATTTGAATATTTTAATTTTTATTTTTGATACAAAAAATAATGACTATCTAACTTATTAATAAAATTTTTTGCAAATTTCTTATTCAAATATATGTAGAACAGTTTAAATTTAACATTAATTTTTTTATAATTTTATAATTCTTATTTTAGTAATAATAATATTTAAAATAAAAATAATATCTAAATTGACACTTTAAAAATCATAAAAATGTTATGAGTTAAAATTTTAAAATTGACTGAAGATTATAAAAATTCTTAAAAAATTAATATTAAATCAGATTATAAGATTAAATTTATATTATTCAAATTAAATATAAATATATTTATTATTTGTTCATTATTTTTATTTTAATAATTATAAAATAAAAAAGTAAAATAAATCTTGTTAAAGCATAATTCAGACTCCTCATCACATCATGAACACCCAAAATGGGCCCTCTCACTTCGCTGTCGGTTATTGTGGGCAGTCAAACCTATAAACGTGTCAACGATTTTTTTACTACGATAGTCCCCAATGATTCCGATTTTTTCTCCTTCTTCTTCATCATTTTAACTCTCACTATTTTTTGTGGGGCCCTGCCCTAACAGATGTTCCCGTCTTTTGCCAGCTCTTGGCTACCTGTGCTTTCCTTTTTGCCAAACAATTACAATTTCCCATATTACCCCTGTATGTTCTAGGGAACTCTACTTTATGCCATCGTAGCCCCGTTAGAGATATATGGGCTTCTTGCCTTCTTCCATTGTTCGTATTAGCGACTACCTTAAAGCCGAACAGGTTTGGTTAAATCTTGTCAAACATATCAAACTACACCATTTTTTTTGCATGATTGAATCTTGTGGGACGCGAATAATGAAGTCGAAAGTTCCAACACAAGGAAAATCGGCTGATCAACATTGTTTGTCCAAGTGTGCTGACACATTTAGAAAATATTTAGAAGCGGATTTATTTAAAAACATTGTCAATGAAACTTGGGAGCTGGGATGGACACTATGGTTTCTAGATTTCGCTTCAACCAAGGTGGGTTTGATTGAACGTAGAAGGTTGTTAACTTTAATGGAGCAGTTTGTGGAAAGCTTTTTGTAGACGCTCAGGAAGTAGAGAAAAGCTTTCACTAATATTTTAGCTTTCAGCCAAGCATTGCAGTTAAGTTTCATTCGGTATCCATTAAGACCTTAATCTTTGTTAGGAAGATAAGTGTCCTCAAGTCCACGTTTATGATTATCCTCTCAAAATAATATAATTAATCCCAATCACAACAAATATTCCTAAAATATCCCTCTTTTATTGGTACCATCAAGAAGGTTAAGGATCTTGTTATAAAAAATTTAAGTGTCATCTTGAACTATATCTTTAAAAAAGAGAATAGATGCATAGATTAGCTTACTCATCAAGTAAATCAATATAACTTGGATGTTAGAATTTTCGTTAATTATCCCCTCCTAAAACATGGGAATCTTATGGGTTGTTTGGTTTTTGTTTTCAAAAATTATTTTCTTTTTAAAAAACAAAAAAATCATTTTGGTAAGTTTTTTGGATTTAATTATTTTTTAAAAATTGTTCTCATTTTTTAAAAATAAAAATATTTTAAAGTTGTTTTTCATTTTATTTTTCTTTTCAAAACACACTACATTTGATTATTGAAAAATATAATTTTCTTGACTAATTTATATTATAAACCATCATCATTAACTGCTTGCAACTATTATTATCAGTTTATTTTTAATTTTAAAATTATTTTTAAATTAACATAATCAAATATATTTTCATTTTGTTTTGTTTTGAAAAATAATTTTAAAAATTGTATATAAAACAAAAAACAGGAACTAAAATTCTTATGCTCTCTAACATGAAGTAGTTTTCTTGTTTATTGAATGGCTTGTTGCCCAGCTTTGCCCTTGACCTTTTTAATTTAACCAAAAAAATGGATAATTTGTAATGTTTGCTTCTCTGATCTATAATTATACCCTCTATACTTAATATCATATATCATTAAAAATACAAATAGAACTATATTTATTGTTTGGGGATAGCACACTTTATAAATCTATATTTGATCAATTATTAATTTATCAGTTACCTTGCGTGGAAGGCATGTCAATTACTCAGTGTGTAGGGCATACTACAGATCACAGTTCATAGCATCCTTACTATCAAGATGTTTGTCAACACTCTTAGCCCGGTCAACAGATTTTGCAATGTCTCTTGATTTTTATGCACCGAGAAATCAGTAACATTGCTAATACTCCTGAATTGCAAATATAGAAGGTGAAACTGTAATTTCTTAAAAAAAAAATGTATGTCTTATCAATTATTCCCTTAATTAAATATTTTATATAATTTCCTCAAATCCTTAATAATGATTCCACTGTATCTTTTTTTTTTCAAAAAAATAAATGAAGTAGGAGTAGTGTAGTTAGAAAAATAATTATAAAAACTATCTTATATTTTAAACCAAGTAGAGTTTCTAAAAAAATATCTTATATTGTGATAAAAAAGAATAGTTTAGTTAGAAAAAGTTATACATTAGTTAATATCTCCATTATTTTTGTTGAGAAGTGGTTGATGATGAAGGAGAGACTATTTTTAGTTTTTTTTTTTATGTTTAGTTCAAGCCTTGTAATGACTTTTTATTCTTTTAAATCATCTGATTTTATGAAAAAAGATGGTTAAAAATATAAGGTATTTTGGATTTTTATTAGTAAGGTTTTTTTTTCCCAAAAATACATTGGATGTAATCAATAAGATTTTCTAATTGATACATTATATTAAATAAGGGTAAACATAAAAGAGGTATATAGTTTTAAACATAATTAACTAATTCATATTGTTAGGATACAATTTAGTTAAAAATGATTTCTAATATTTCAAAAGAACATATTACTATCATAAAAATCAATTTATTAAACAAAAAATCATGTCAAAACTCTTGTGGAAACTCATTTGTCAGCTCCAAAGGAAATAGAATGCATAACGGGTATCGAATAAATTAATTAAAAATCCTATAAATGTTAAAATCGAACAACACTTTAAATAACTTAAATCCATCACCATCCAAAAAAAAAAGGTGGCAAAATATAAGAGAACAATTCTAACCTTTAACAAGGGTTAAGAGACAGGGCCAATCCAATCCAATCCAATCTAAACAAACTAAAAAGTAAGAGAAGGCGAATGACAATCGCATGAGAGGAAGAAAACATTGGAAAAAGAGTTACTTTTATCCTTTAAAATTTTTAGTGTGAAAATAACTATATTTTGTTTAGTTTTTCACTCATCTATAATCTATTGCCCGCTTCATTCTCAAAAGATATTCAAGTTAGTTTTTCCAAATAATTACTAGATATTTGACATTTTTAATTTTGATTATTTTAAAAATATTAAACAAACATCTTAAACTTTACTTGAAGTAATTATTTTTTTTTAAAAAGTGCTTTGTTGGGGAAAAAAAGAGCCAAAACAAACAGCCCGCGGTCCTTGTTTTAATTTAAAAAAAGTGGGTTTTTGGTGGGGGGGGGTTGAACCCAAAACAAACAGCCCATAATCTCCTACTGAGATAAAACTTTCATGATAAATACATTTTACGATAAAGCGTTAAGAAAGAATGAAGCTTTCAATTTAATAAAACATGATTGATTGTTTGGAGCAACTTCCACTAATTTTTCTTTTGAAAAATTTTACTTCAAGTGTTATACATGAATTAATTTATCAATTTGGGCGACTTCTCGCCCAATTTAAAATTATTATAGCATTGATCCTTGTTCCTTGACTCCTTGTACGTTACCAAGGGCGAAGTAGTAAAATTATTTGACCTCCCTTGACTCAAGCCAGGTGGTGACGGTATCTGAAAGTGCTCTCCCTCATCGTGCAGGCGCTTTCTTCGCTTTTTACTGTATTCTCCAGCAGCCGGTTTACCAGACCCACCGGAAACCACAAAAACAAATGCTCTGTTCTGCTCTCTTCATCTTCATTATCTCACTCTTCTTTCCTTCAATGCCCCTTGCTACATTATTCTTTCGTTTTCTTGGTACACTCTTCGCCGATTTCCCATTCCATCTCCAAATATTCACTTCTAATTATCTCTCTTAACTTGACCTTTCAGGCTTTTGCGTGTTGTGTTCACTATTTTGTCATCTTTCATCATAGTTTTGAGGTGCAGGACCACAATAAGTTTTCACAATTGGAGCTGCTAGTCTGTCTCCTTCTAAATGGTTTCATAAATTGAATCCGTGCTAGTTGTACTATTCATCTTTCCTTTTCTGGATCGAGTTTATTGTTTCTTGGTTCCGTTATTTTCTGTGATCCTCTGAGCTCAAATTTGATTCTGCTTAGTCTGGACACTGGATATTCTAGCTTCGTAATTCAAGCTCAAAGAAATGAACTTTGTACGGAACCCCATCTCAAGGTTCTTTACTTTCTTCTCTTTCTGCTTCAGCTTCATTCTCTGTGGTCCTACCCGACCCCAAGGAGCTGTACGGACACGACCCGCGTGTGCACTTCCTTCTTGGCCTTCAAACCTCAACCAAACCAGATGCTTGCAGTTATACAGAGTATGTTCGATGTATTGCCCGGTGATATTACTGTGGAAGGCAATGGCTGGGATTACGTGTTCATCAGGAAGAACTGTTCCTGCGCTTATGGCATAAAGAAATATGTATCCAACACTACGTTCACTGTGAAATCCAATGAAGGGTTTGTGCATGATTTGGTGATGAAGGCCTATGACGGGCTTGCTATCTTGCCCAACACCACCAGGAGGGCCAAAAACGGCGCCGTTATATCACTGAGGTTGTTTTGTGGGTGTTCTACTGGACTGTGGAACTATTTGTTGAGTTATGTCATGAGAGATGGGGATAGTGTTGAATCTTTGGCGAGTCGGTTTGGGGTTAGCATGGATAGTATCGAGACGGTAAATGGTATTGATAATCCGGATAATGTCACCGTCGGATCTCTATATTATATACCTCTGGATTCAGGTCAGTGCTTGTAATCATCTTCAACAATCTAGAGTAAGGTACATCTGTGTTTATGCGTTTGTATGCACCTATATATTTGGGAGTGATGTTTGGTTATATTCAATTTTAGCTCTATTTTGTTTTATGCAAGTTGCATCTTGGTTCTTTCGGAATAACTGGATAAAAAATGAGGTTGGAATGTATCTGGTGGTGTGATTGGGTGGTTTAATAGTTGGGAACTAGTGATTGAGTGCTTGAAAGTAATCTAAAGCTGTTCTTTAGTTCAGCTGAACAATTTTGTGTTATGCAAATGCATTAACCTTTTGGCCTTTGTCAGTTTTATGGATTTGTTGAAGACATACAACTCTAAGGAAGAGCATTGAGTTAATGAAGAGAAAGCAACGTGTTTATTGTAAGTAGAAAAATGAATATAAATTTAAGAAAAAAAGCAAATTATGGTACTTTTCTGTTAAATGATGACTGACCTCAAGCAGTTACAACTGGAGAAATCTTTTCTTTGTCATGACATGAGTGACAGGACTTAATGTGCTGAGAAACTCCTGCATGACAGGGCAGATACTTCACATCAACATCTAGAATAAGTTGGAATCTGAGATTGACTGTAATTTATGCAGTGTTCACATGAAAAGATACTAAATCAGAGGGAGAAACGGTGGACATGTGAGGAATTCGGTGATTGCTGTCTGTAAATGATTAAAAGTTGAGACTTGTTTTGCTTCTCTTTATCCACAGGGACTGTTGTTTTCTGTTGCTTACTTGCCTCTATCTCTGAGGCTGTAATAGACTATTGTTCATTTAATCGGGACAGTATAAATTGAACACTTTGCACGTTTACTGGACTTACTGTAGAAGTAGCTTGATTAATTAACTTCAATTTTTTTTGGTATACAATTAATTAGCTGTAGTTGAATGTATTGATTCACTGTTTAAGATGTGTTGCATTTTTTTGCATTCCCTATTTATCATGGAGAGGAGAATGGTCATTCTATAAACATTACAATACTACACATGTCGTAATCCTGCTTTTGTATTATTTAACTGCATTGCAGCTCCTGGTGAGCCATATCCTTTGAAGAATGATACTCCTCCAGCACCTGTTCCTGCCCCCTCTGCTGACAATTTTTCAGGTACGAGACAATATATCTAGGAAAAAATGAAAATGAAAGAAGAATATAAGTTTTATTTACTTTACTTTTTTCTAATTTGGTTTAGCAAATCATTTTTTGCACCTCTATCTATGTAAAATTTAATTGAGGTTTTGTTTTCTAAATTTTAGCATACGACTTGTAAACTGAATGCTTTTAGTAGGAGCTGATTTAATAGATGTCTGTATTGGCCGTTTAATAGATAGAATAGAATGGAAAGGAAAAAAAATATGATGAAAAGATTTTAATTTTTTAGATGATGAATGTGTTTTATGCCTCTGAATAGGAAAATAAAAAAAAATGAAGTTACTATTCATTAATGATGTTGGGGGTACAATAAATAAACATTATATATCTCATTTTTTGTGTAATGGTGGTGTTTAATTTATGAAGCCTACCCCACCTAAGTGGGTAAGGCTTGTTGCTGCTGCTGCTTATTAATGTAGCAAGCAGGAATTTGGCAGATTCTACGTTAAGTTACTGATCACTGTTTATGATAAATTGAATTGAAAGAAATGAGTTAAAACTTAAAAGTTGTTCACCTCTCTTGGATTTCATCCATCGGTGGTTCTTATTTTTCTTTTGGCTTTTAAATTGACTGATTTCGTTTTTGTTTTTCATTATTTACTTCCTATAATTGTCAACCTAGGAAGCAAATAGTGCATTTACTTGCACAATAATTGAATACTTATGTGCGAACTCTTTTTTTTCTTTTTTTGGGGCAGCTAATCAAGTTGAGAATAAGGCTCATGTACCATATAAATGGATCATTGGTGGTTTAGGAGTTGTTCTTGCTCTTATCATACTGAGCATAATTCTGTGTGTTTCCCTGCGATCATCACATTGTTTCCATGAAGCCAGAAGAAGTCATGCAAAAGATACTGAGCCCAAGACCTTTCATAAGTTTCATATTCTTCAGAATTCAAGTTTTTGTTGCGGTTCAGGAAGGTATATAAGTGAAAAGTCCGTAGACCAGAATCAAACTGATGGCGAACCTAGCAATGTCCAGATTACCATTCCCAAAGTTCCAAGTAATCAACCTATCCTTTAAACTCATATACATATAGTTTCAGCCTAAAGTTCTTATGTTTTGCATATGTTGTATTGAGGTAGCAGGTGCTATTCTGATGTCAAGCAAGCAAGAAGTAGTATATAGGAATAAAATGAAAATAAAAAGTATGCCGGATGCTGCTAATGCCCCTTTATTTAGAATCGAGGATTTTGGTTATGCAATTATGTATCAATGTTGAGGAGCAATTCCAGCATGACATTTTGATCTTTAACTTCTCAGTTAAGTGGGAAAAGAGAAGTGGGTTTCATCTGCTGCTGATGCTAGTTTCTAGTCAGAATGCATTGATGGATATTTCACTGGATGATTGATGGTGGTCTTGTAATTCTGTTTCCAAATTAGTTAGATGGGCATGGATTTGTACCTTTATATCTGATGAACACCTGCAATCTTAGAAGTTTATGAAAGTCCATTCATATCAGGATGCTGTATAACTTGCAATTGCTTCTATTCTGGTTGTCATGTTGATTATACTTCAATTGCATCATATTTTAATTCTCACATCATTAAAATGAATACTTATTGCTATTATGCTCTATCGCATGGTTTATGAATTAGTGTATTTTGCAATGATATGTGATTGGTCTGACTGCAGGAATTTATGCAATTCCTTTGACTTATGTGTCAATCTCTGGTTCTCCTTTACATCTCTGTATCTATGTTATACCTTGCTCTATAAAATAGGAATTTATGCACAATAAACCTTCCTGTGTTTTTCCAGCTCTAGGGACTGATGTATTTGACATGGACAAGCCTGTGGTTTTCACATATGAAAATATTTTCTCATCAACTGATCGTTTCTCTGATTCAAATCTTCTTGGGCATGGTACATACGGTTCTGTTTACTATGGCATGCTTCGTGACCAGGTTTGCACCCGTCTTCTTTTAGTATGTAATAATACAAGGCAAGCATCATTTTTATACCTCTACTAACATGTAGTAAATCATTGTAGGAAGTAGCTATAAAAAGAATGACGGCTACAAAAACTAGAGAATTTATGTCTGAAATGAAAGTCTTGTGCAAGGTTCATCATGCAAATCTGGTAATTTCTTGGCTGACAAAATAAATCAGATGATTTGATTTTGGAGAAATTGATTTGAAGATTTCAAAAGTTTGAGTCCCTTTTTTATTTTGTCAAGGTAGAATTGATTGGCTATGCAACTAGCCATGATGAACTTTTCCTGATTTACGAATATGCACTGAAGGGATCACTCAAAAGCCATTTACATGATCCTCAGAATAAGGGTAAGATTGCTTGTCATGCTTTGGTTTGTGAAATTAGTTGAGGACATATGTTTGAACAAGGAGCTTGTGAATTAATATTTAGATTTTATCTTTCAAATTCAAAGCATGTATTTTTCCTGTCGGTTTTCTAGTATTCTTTGTGTAGCTTATTGTGATTTACTTGTATGTGGTAATATTAATGAAAAAATTGGAAGGGCAAGATTCGCACTGTAGTTACACTTGACCATATTCTAAGCTTTTTTTAAAAAAGACTACTCCCTCTGGTCCTAAATGTAGGAGCAAAAATGTAAGACCTCAATTTACTTTGTCTCCTGTATTTACTATCTTTTCTCAAACTACCTCTACTGGTTGCACACATCAATGTGTGCATTCAATAGGGATAGTTTTCAATGTAAATGGTTAAAAGAAGGGATATTTTAGGAAAACCAGCGGACACTTCTACAAATAACAACTCATTGCCTTAATTTATGTGAATTAGTTATCTAGCTCCTACAGTTAAGACTAGAGGGAAGGGAGCATTATGGTTGTTAGTTTCAAAGACTTTGCGTGTAATATATTATTCTGATTATTGGAGGTATTTTCGGTTCAACCAACAGGAAAATAAAGAAGGTTAGTGTCACCAGATTATTGATTGGATCTTGCATTATAGCCTTCTGATATTTTATATCTCAATGCATATTTACTCTTTCTGGGTTTTATTCCAGTTGCTGACGATCAAGGAATATGAAATATCAGATGATTTGACCTTTTACTGTCTTTAGATCAATTAGATAGTTGTGATCTCTGAAGTAAAGTACATTAGCTGGATGGATGGTTGATGGCGTAACATGTTTTTGTTACCCTGCTACACGCAATTTTGTCTTCATTGCATATATTTTCAGCACCTAAGTTTTGGATATCAGAACCTGTCGTTTATAGTTTATAGTTGCATCTGGATATAATATAAAATTTTTAGGAAGTCATACTTTTCATAAGCCATGAATAATATGACTCATATTTTAGATTCTGTGTAATGCATGAGACTTGCAGTTTAAGCTAACAAAATGATGTTGCAACCAGCATCCATATCACTAAGGGAATTTTTATGAGCTCAAATACTTGAATTAATATTTTAATGGAAATCAACAATGCAAAGGCTTTCTACAATGTTAAAAGTTGAGGCTTGAGTGGTTAGAACGTATTATAGCATGAACAAACTCTATAGAGTTTACGACCTTTGTCCCCTGCTTATAGGTCATTCCCCTCTTTCTTGGATCATGAGGGTCCAGATTGCCCTTGATGCTGCTAGGGGCCTTGAATACATACATGAGCACACCAAAACCCATTACATCCATCGAGATATCAAAACAAGCAACATTTTACTAGATGCTTCCTTCAGGGCAAAGGTAATAACAAATTTAAATATTGTTAAAAACATTTCTAACTACTTTGCACATTTTTTTTTGTTTCGGCTAATATCTCCTCTCTCTCTCTCTCTCTCTCTCTAGATTTCAGATTTTGGGTTAGCAAAACTTGTTGGGACGGCAAATGAGGGAGAAATTGCTACCACTAGAGTTATTGGTACATATGGATATCTTGCTCCAGAGTATGTAATGTCCAATTGTCCATCAATTTTTTTTAGTTCATTCTTCCCACAAAAAAAGGGATTATTATTATTATTTTTTTATTTTTTACATTTGTCAGATACTTGAGTGATGGCCTTGCGACAACTAAAAGTGATGTCTATGCATTTGGTGTTGTTCTCTTTGAGATTATATCTGGGAAGGAGGCCATCATTCGAACAGAAGGCACAATGACAAAAAATCCTGAAAGACGTTCATTGGCATCTATTGTAAGTTAGGCTTATGAGGCATGAATTTAAATACAATGGAATGCGTGACATCAATATGCTTATAATTCTATATTGCTTTACAGTAAAATGCTGCAAGAAATTGTCTAGCTTTAGTAACTATTCTTGTGATGATTTTACTGTATCAGCACTATGTCACCAAATTCAGAGTGATGGCAGGCTGATATGACTTAATTTTGGGATGGTTATATTTGTAGTGCGATTATACCTATTTATTGCAACTTTAAAAATTGAACAAAACTGGTATAATATGATTTATTGTCCTGTAATAATTTTAACAAATTTTTCGTGTCAACCTGTTCAGATTATCAGGTTGTGTTGTAGAGAAGACTATATGTATGATAGACTATGTTTGTGCCATGACCTCGCATATCACATCTGTAATGTAATAATTTCAACTTTGAATGCATTATATCCTATGTTTAAAACTTGGTTGCATTTTTGCCATGTTCGCGGTGGTTACGCATATTTTTCTCCTTGCCTGATTTAACTTAATGATTTATGATTGCTTATCCCTGTGCTCTATGGTTGCAACTGTTATCCGGGGCTTTGCATTAACATTCATCATCAAATTGCAGATGCTGGCAGCTCTTAAAAACACATCCGATTCCTTGAGCATGTCAAACATGAGAGATTATATTGATCCTAACATGATGGATCTTTATCCTCATGATTGTGTGTACAAGGCAAGTTTCTCCATTTTCTTCTATTTTGCTTATATGGGAATAACAAGCTCAGCCTAATTGCTTCTTTCTACATTCCTTGCTGATTTCTCATGTTATCAATATTGTCAGTTGTAAAAAACCAACTTCATGTGTTCTGAAATCACGATATAATAAAGGATGAAACTCCATGAAAGTTCCATAAGTATTAGCTATCAGATCCTTAAAACATGATGAGATTGAAACTTTCTGAATTATGCCATTGCATGCTAATCTGACAGTACACTTGAAAACTGTGTCCTGAAAGAAATTCCATGATGTTCAACTGTACTAACTCGATCTTCATTTGTTCTATTGGTGTGTTTTGAATTTTGATGCACAGATGGCAATGCTGGCGAAGCAATGTGTGGACGACGATCCCATTGTACGACCTGATATGAAACAAGTTGTGATTTCCCTCTCACAGATTCTCTTGTCTTCTATTGAGTGGGAAGCAACTCTTGCTGGGAACAGTCAGGTTTTCAGTGGGCTTGTTCAGGGAAGATAGTTCAAGAGCAAGATCTTTTTCGTTCACTACCTTCAACAGGATTCTTTTTCCACTATCCTGTTTCTTAGGTTTGATAGTTTTGTATTTATTGGAACGTCAGAGAACTGGTGGGTTAATATCTCTCCTTTGTCATTAGCTTGAAATGTCTCAAAGTACCGTATCTTCATTTTGTTAAAACTGCAATCTTGTGTGTAGTAAATTTTGGACCTGAGTTAGAACATGTGATGATGGAGCTGCGTAAGGATTTTGCAGTTGTGTGATTCGTATTGATGCAGTCTGAAATTCATATCTTTAAGCACCTTGGAATTCTTTGATTCATTGCTTTCCTTTTGCAATAACACTCCCTTTGGGCTTCATGAAGAGAAGTTTTGGAAAAGAATTTCAAAAATGGATTTTCAAATGCGTTCTTGAGTTGACGTATCTATCTCCTCCTCTTCCTCCCGTTTTTTTTTTTTTTAGAATGACGTATATATCTTTATGTATTTTCTTTCTTAAAAAATATAAGATATTTTTAATTAAATTTTACTTTTAATAATATAGTTTGTTTTTAAAATAACACTATCTTTTTATATTTACTTTTATGTAATAGGGTGTTTTACTTTAAAATAAATATAATGTAATTATTCAATAGAAGTATTTTTTTTAAAAATGTAATGATTACATTTTAAAATATTTAAAATGTTTTATATTTTTGAACATTTAATTTCTTAAAAATGTCATACATTTTTAAATGAATGGTGTGTAAGTTTATTTGCATTTTATAAATTTAAATTTAAAATTCTTTTGATATTAGAAAATGAGCTTAGTTGATAAGCGTTTTTAAGAAGAAAACAAATGTAAAAGAAGCAAAATGTGTTGTTTAAGGTAAAAACACATTATGATTTACTCGTCTTTATATGAGAAGATAAAGTGGTTCACAAGGAGTAATTTTATTGACAGTATAAATTACTTCCTTCGAGATACTAAGAGTTTGAGAGCAAAGAATAGATAGATTTCTTTTAATTAAATTGTTACGTACATGAAGATTGATATTCAAGCCCTTTATCACTTGTTTAAATGTTGTCACTCGTCAATTTAAATTGATATCATGAACTTTGTTTTTTTTTTTTTTCAATACAAGATATCATGAACTTATTTTAATGATATATGATCATCAGATGTCCAAAGTGAATTGGGCCTATTGGTCTGAGGTTTGTAAGATCATCGACTTTCCAATATATGATCAGCTCTTACCCAAAAAAAGAAAGGAGCTCTTACCTATACCTATAGCACGTTTGATCCTGTCCCAAAAACGCCATGTCGTTTGCTTCTTGCCCCGAAATTAAACGGCGAAGCTTGGAGTGGAAACCCGAAAATAGCCTCGCTTCAAGAAATAGCTGAGGAGCCCGCCACTCCAAACACGGCGATAAATTCAAAAATCCTCAACGGAAGCAAAGTCGCCGAGAGAGATGCAGAGGAATGAAATGAACGAGAAGTCGGAGAGGAAGCCGCTCAGAAATGTAACAAACAAACATGGTTGGAGATCCCTCAAATCTGAGAACGTGAAGATGGTATGTCAGAAGCAAAAGGAAGAGACTGCTAAGGAGGAGAAAGAAGATAACGACGTACTCGATCGCATTCTTCTGGTTCAGTCCGATATTTCATCTATTCTTCATCAGGTGTCTGTTTACTCGAATTATAGTATTTCATTTGGTTCTCTAGATTTCAAGACCGGTCAGAAATCATTTCCGTCGTTGTTGAAGCAACGAAATCAATAGGATTTATGGTTGCTCTATTTACTGCAGTTCTAGGGCAATGTAATGTTACTTAGTTGGCTGAGTTTGGTTTCAGAGGGACTGCTGACGGATATGAAGTTTTTCTATTTCGAAAGGAACATAGCCATGTTTCTGTTTGGAATTTTCGTTCACGGAGAAATATTTTTTATTTTGGATTTCATATTTTCCTCGGATTCTTTTTCTTCCTAGCTGACTTTAAGTTCAGCACACTGTTATTACCACCACTTGAATAGAGTATATATTGAAATCGACTACCTAGCTTAGCTTGTTATCCAAAATTTTCTGTTTGTCCAAGCAGATGGAACCTCCTGGATTTGTTCGTAGAGTATGTGGTTTCAAGGCTTTAAAATGTGCGCTAAGCATTTTTCATCTTATTTTATTTCAATAAGAATTTTCAGAAGTGCAGGAAAATTTATTCATGATCAATGAATTGAATGGCAGATTGATGAGCTTGTTGCACAAGCATTTAGACTCAAGACCACAAGCAGAGAGGGGAGAAAAGAGATTGAATCTTTCTCATATGTTTTGTCTGACATGCTATCATCTTTAAAGGTCAAAGCTCTATCTGCCTTTCCCCTTCATTCCCTGCTTGAATATTCTGTTTTCACTACTGATTAATAATTGTTGTTTCTGGATGCAGCCGTGGGCGGCCAGATTCCAGAGGGCACTGTCTCCAACCTCAGGAGAGTCTGAATATCAGCCTCAACAGGTTTTGGCTAAAAAACCAGTATCTAACGAGGTTAGAGATGAAAGTAAAGTCAGTGACAGTCCTGAGGAGACCAAGTTGAACTCTCTGGTCTCTCCGTCTCCACTCGTGTCCTGGCGGGCTAACTGTACAATTGAAAGGGGTAGACAAATGTTTATGCTCACACCCCTTCCTATATCAAAAGCATTATCATGCAAACGTCCGGAGCCAACTAAATTGGGGTTCAATAGATTATCTTCCTCTACTAATGCTTTTGGGACATCAACTCTCCTTGCCTTATCCGGAGATATGCCTGACTGCTCGTTTGATGCTGTTGTAGCGAAACCAACTCCCCTTAAACCTCCTGCTTCTGTTGCTATTCAAGAAGCAATTGCTCAAGAAAATGGATTTGTTTCTTCGCCGCTTTTTCGTAAAAGAGAAAGCTCCATGCTTGTTATGACTCCATGTTTAAAAATGTCACCCCCTAAATCTTGTGTTTTACTTGAACCCATATCTGAAATCTGTCATCCAGGCAAAGACAAAGACAAGGTTCGCAAATCCACTCCGTTTCCTGTTGGGATTCATTACAGCAATTCAGAAACGTCTGATTCTTCTGGTGGTGATGCTTCACAAGGCCTGGCATTGAAGTATCTAGAGCTCCTGGGTATACAACAGATTTCTAAATCTGGAGCTGGAAAGAAAACGATAGAAGCATCCCCAGATTGGTTTATGTCGCCTCCTAAAACTTGTGTTTTGCTGGAGCCAACCGACGAGAAGCCGTTTGATTTGGAAAAGTCTGATAAAGGTTTACAGATCACTGATGCTGTTACTATCAATCAAGAAACTAACAAATTGAAAGACAATGTTTTCGACGAGCATAATCAAACCAAAAAATCTTGTAACGAAGGTAGCACTTGACCTTCCACTGTCCATACCTTTCGATTTGTTGGGTTGACATGATTTTGGCTTATTCATTATTTATATATCATATATTTATCTGTGTAGAACATTTTGGTGGCAAAGAGAGCACCATGTGGCTTGAGCCTGAAAGCTCGTTTCGAACTGGGAAATGCCCTGGTGAGAATACACTGAAGAAGGAATTGTGGACAAAATTTGAAGCAGCATCCACCATCGGACTGCAGCGTAAAACCTCCGCAGTTAGCAATACTACTAAAAAAGGGTTTCTCGATCTTCTGGAAGAAGCCTCTTGTGACGATTAAGCGCACTACAAAAATCAAAATATCAGCAAGCAAATAGGTTTTTCTCACTTGAAAATTGAAAATTTTTGCTGTACAAGGTTATGTTGCAAGGTTTGGAGCAAAGAGGCCAAGTGCATTGTGTCATAATACCCCACCTAGAAGATAATTTTGCAAGTCGGTTCCAGACACACGGTGAAGCTGTTTTGTTCAACTGGTTGTTGTTACTTCTCCATTGATGTCAGGAATAAAGGAATGAAATTATGGGAAGTGTTTGTTTGATGCTGCATCTGCGGAATCAAATCTTGTCTGTATCATTCTGCACTTATCACAAAAATATGAGATACATTCAACAAGCTGCATCGAACCATGATGGGTGCGTTTATTTGTTGTCAACTTCCCGATCAAAGCAATGGATGGCATGGCAGAATTTAAGCAGGAAGAACACTTATTTCAGTTCCTTGAATTCTTTTTTATTAGATTTATACAATATCTACAATATAATCATATGATAAACAGGTGATAGTTCCAGTACAAGACATGGTGAATGATTAAAGTTTTCATGGAAATATTTTTGTTGGCCAACTTCGATGGCAATATATATTCGATATATTATATTTTTGGATAATAATAAAATTCAAAACTTTAGATTATAATGAACTCTAGTTTTTATCTCATCACTCTCACCTATTTTACACTCCTTTCGTTTAAAAATTTAATGTATTTTTTAAGGAGTTAGATGTTAAAAAATATAAGACATTTTTATTTTTTTAAGGTGTAATTATTATTATTTTTTCTTTAAAAATGTCTCTATTAAATGGATCATTTTATATTTTTATAGTGTAAATAGAAGTAAATATAAAAATATAGAATTAGTTTAAAAATAAAAAATGACTTTATTAAAAGTGCAATTTAATTAAAAATATTTTATATTTTTTAAAGGAGGAAAAAACATTTTCTGTCTCTCATTATGTAAATATACATAATGGAGTCAAGTCTACAACTTTATGCTTTTAAGAGCAACAACTTTCTGCTTATTTTATAACACTTTTATGTATGTATGCGTGTGCATATCAATGTATGCATTTATGTATACAGATATGACAATATACATAATTTTTTTAAAAATTTAAATTTGTCTGTCACATAGATATTGAATCATAATATAAATCCTTTATCATTCCAATGGCATGCTTCTCTCTCTCTCTCTCTCTCTCTCTCTCTCTCTCTCTCATGTTTTTCTTAACTAAATTTAAATTTAAATTTAAATCATGTGAGTAAATTTGGCTATAATGATAATGAAAATCAATTTAACTATTAATCTAATGGATACAAATTTGTAGAGTGTATTATTAATATCTAAATCTAATATCCATTCTATTCTATTAACCAAATTGAAACTTTTATCAATATGAATTTTGTGACTATCAACTAAAAATTATTACTTAATTTTAAACTTATTATAAGCACTTAATGTATTAAAAAATTCAATTTTAGTTAAAACTTTATTTTCATTAATATTTTTTCATAACTAACACTCATTTTTATAACTATTATATTCTATTATCTCTCTTTAAACAAATTTTAAAAAGTAGACAAAGTCAATTTACAAGCTGATCATGTTTTATGTCTAGCAGTATCGATATATACTCATCAATGACAAGCCTAGGATTATTTTTGGGATGGCAAATTTTCTTCTACTTCTACTTATGGGGGCTAGGCTTAGTTACAAACTTTTTTATAATCAATTTCTAAAACATGACTCCAAATATTTACAAGGAGTTCAGAGGAATTTTTTCATTTTTTTTTTCTATTTTCCTTCACTTCCTCTATATCAACCATTCATTAAATATATAATTTTAAAAAATTTATTTAATAAAATAATATGTGTGATTCAGATGGAGGAAGTGAAGGAGAATGAAAAAAAAAAAAGTAAAGAGACCGTTGGTGTTTTTAAATCCGTCCCTGATACCTATCAAATCAATCTAAATCTAAGTTATCTATAATCAGGCGAAAAAATTTGAAAATTATGTGTGATGGTCTCATTAGTTTATCTTGGATTAGCTCAGTGAGTTTAATAATCTAACTAATTCATTTTACCAAAAAAAAAAATCTAACTAAATCAGTATTAGAAATTAGAAAATGACTAAAAAATTACAGTTTTGAAAGACTGATTATAATTCTTTTTTGGACCAGAAGACTGATTATGATTCTAAAGACGACCGACGAGGCTGTTTTTGTGTATTGCATGCAAAACAAGGCTATGCTACGCCTATCTGAAGCAAGCAACCAGAATGTTGTCCCCCTGGCTCAAAAAAAAAAAAAAGATAAATAAATAAATAAAGCAAGCAGAAGCAAGTGGTTCCAACTTTTTAATTTTTTCTGGAACCTGATAGATAAGGGAAATTAAATAGGGAGAATTTCATGGTCACAGTAAAGATTTAATTTCACATGGGTTCAATTTTTTTTTAATTTCAGTTCAGTTTGAGAGAGAAAAATCAAAATAATTTTAATAATAAAAAAAATCAAAATATCCGTTATTTGTTATGCAAAATTACTAATTATTAATTTTGTTTACTTCACTTGTTAATTTATTAATATGAGTTATAAATTATATGAGTTAATATGTTAATTATTATATAAGACTTAACATCAGTTTTTCAATTATAAGTAGTAATATTTATTGTTAAATGGTTAACTTTATTTGTTAATTTACTAATATTAATTGTAAATTATTGACAAGTCTTGTAATTTATTAAAATCAATTGTAAATTACCTATAGGTCTTATAATTTACTAAAATCAATTAGAAATTACTGTTAGGTTTTATAATTTACAACTGATATTAGTAAATTAATAAATAAAGTTAATAAATTAACAACTAATGTTACTGATTCGCTAATAAATGGATGTAATTTACAAGTGATATTGATAAATTAATAAATGCAGTAAAAAAATTAATAATTAATGATTCTGTACAATAAAAAAAGAGTATTTTAATTTTTTTATCGTCAATTTTTTTTATTTTTTTTCCCCGAACTGAAATATTAAGTTTTTAAACGGTCCTTAACTGAAATATTTCCAAGTAAATACAAGGACAGTTATTCAGGAGAACTTTTTTCGCCGTTCGATATAAGACTTTGTTGTTGATTGGTTATGTTCTGTCCGGGCTAATTATTCTGCCTCTAGTTTGCACCTTACTGCTTTATACCCTTTCCCGCCGCTCCCAACGAGTACACGAGCACAAAAAAATTCTCTTCATTTCACTACCTGTGTAAAACCCCTTAACAGTCGCAAAATCATTCTCTTCCTGTAAATTCTGAAACCCTAAGTTACCTGTGTTCGTGTTCAATGGTGACGCTTGATCAGCTCACTCGGCACGTTGAGTCCTATGTCGACTCGTCTGCTACTCCCGCTCAGCAGGTTTGCCCCCTTCTTTGAATTCCCTTTTTACAAAATGTATACTTGTAAGAGCAGAGTTCAGTTTTACGTTGAAGCAGCTTGTTTTTTTTTTGGCTATAATTTTTATTGTTTTGTGAAGAAAATAACAAATTTTCCTCCTTCCATGAGGACGGTGTGCTTTCGCTAATTTTCTACGTGCATGCTTTTGTGTTGGTTGTTTCCGTTAATAAAGTATGCTTTTGCACTGCAGGTTGCTAGTGTGGATGCAATTGGGAATTTTGTAAAGAGTAATGCTTTAACTCTGGAATCATTGGTATGCTTTTCACTTAATCCGTTTTTTTTTTTTTGGTAACGTTTATATGTAATTCCATTCATTCATGCTAGTTTCCTCCCCCTTCTTGTATTGCCTCTGTTTCACTCTAAAGGTTAGAGAGTTGGAGATGTATTTGACCACAACAGACGACATTATTCGTGCAAGAGGTGGGTCTTATTTATTCTAAGATTGTATGACATTCTTAACGACTTACGTGCGTACACAACTTATGCATGCATGCATTCAACAATGTTTACACTTTGCATAGGGATACCAATGTATGTGAATTTTTTGGGTGTTATACCTGTGACTGAATAACGTTCTAATTAGAGTGAATGCTTGAATATAGTTTGGAAACACATTTTCAGGAATCCATCTTCTAGCAGAGGTGCTTACACGTATTGAATCAAAACCTCTTGACAGTGCAACTGTTCATAGCTTGATAGGTTTCTTCAAGGACAGATTGGTCAGTATTAATATTCCTCCTGCAAAATCTCTCACGCTTTTGAGGCTTTTGTTTGAAAAATCTGTCAATTTCTTTTCCTTTCTTGCTGTCAATTTTTTGGGTTTTGGGAGGCAAAAGGAGTGCAAAGTTCTTTGGCATTGTGCTGTTTTTGCTGTTTCGTGGGGTACTTGGTTAGAACAGAATGTTGCAGCGTTTAAATGGATTGGATTTTGATGCATTCATAGACATGATTGGATTGTATTGACTTTTTTTTTTTTTTTGGGAATATCCTCCTATTGGAGGCAATCTTATTTAAGGTACAGCTGAGTACTAAATGAGAGCATCTCTCTCAATGTGTATTTAATGCCATATTATAGGGGATTAGCCTCTTCTGCTAGACCTAGTCCTGTTGGTGATTTTATGATGGATAGATTTGAGATTGTGGTTGAAACTCCCATATAAATGCATTAGAGTATTAGCAACCCAGGCTAGAGCTATATTAATGAATTATTGATGGACATTTTACTTATTGGGGGCTTACTTAGGAATTAGGATGTTAGTTATGGTTGAGTTGAACAATACTGCAGAAGGAAGGGAACCAATGGTCAGCAAAATGCTTTGCTTGTGTTTACTCTACCTATCAAGAGCATCATTGGGTCTGGTAGGTTGCTATCTAAAGTCAAGCAATATAAATTCAGTTTTCAAAGTTTGAAGTTTTGTTGATGTTCGTTGAAAAAATTCAATTTGGGTCTGTTTTAAACTAAGAAACTCTTTTTAGAAAGTAGATATATATATTAGGATGGAGATGGGAGTGTGGATTTACATCAGAGACTGGGTCTCTTTGGTACAGAGAAGGAAAAATGAAATGAAAAAAGGGATTTTAAGTAAAATGACCCTTCTGCCCCTTCTTTAGTAAAAAAGGTAGAAACTGTTGAGAACCGATTACAATGGTATAATAGACATCGTGAAAAAGGAAGGAAAGAGAATTCTCTCCTTCCTTACACCAAACAGGCCATAAGACTTCCTATTACCATTATACTTTTACTAATATCTATGACCTAAGTTTTATGGCCCAACAAAAAAGACTCTAGGCCTAGACATCAAATTAATAGCCCAGGCCACCAAGAGGAACATGAAATCCAAGATCTATTACGACGCGTGACCAGGAACTTTGTACCCTTTTTAATATGAAATTTA